AAACCTTTCCCTTAACCCTTTTGAAACACACTTCTTATAGCATAATATTTGAGCAGATAAATTCACACATCGACAAACAAAAGGTTCCCATCGAGTACGATGGATGCGAGGGGTGCTAATACCTTCCCCTCGCATAACCGGCTTCCGAACCCGTTCTTGGTCGCGAGACCATCTTATCCATTTCTTTCTTAAGGTTTTTCTCGATATTTTCCTTTCCCCTCATGGGATAAATAAAGTTCGGTGGCGACTCTTCTGTCTATCTTTTTCGCCTCCCCGTCGTTGCACGATGCATTCTTCGAGTAGCGACACATACTATAGAAGTATCTAAGGAGCAAATCAAAAATCTCAATAATTCAAAGGAGCAAGTACACCAAATATCACGGAATCCTAAGGAGACGCAACTAATTCATAACTAAATTAATTCTAAGGAGCATAATACTCACATGTTAAAAGACTATAACTTACACATGATTTCTCTCAGTTTTATGAAGTAAAACAACAATAATTACATCATTTTGAATCATTAGGCGCATCAACATTCAAGGAATCCTAGTCAGCAGAATTTAAAATATAAACCTGATAGTTTGAAGGAGTAAAATATAGGACATGTTTCTCATAATTTTAAGGAAGAAATCATACACCACTCATTGCAGCATATAATGACTATTTCAAGTAAAACAAAACAACAATGAAAGGGAGAACAACCTATATTAAAACAATACACAATAATCACTTTCGGAATAGCGAACACGCGGACACATACTCAACATCAAACACTTCAACAAAATCTAAGTTGTATTAAGAAGATACTACACTATAGAATGCAACTCATAGAACACACCAGACACTGAAGCGACAATAGAACAAAACCAAGGTCGGGTTCACACACATCAAGAGATTTTACCACAACAGAAAGTTTAATTTCAACAGAACTACGAGGCACAACTATCAAAGCAAACTCTAATGCAATCCATATTCGACGAGTTTGAATGTTGCTGCAGATAATAACTCACGTGTTTGAATGTTGTTGCAGATAGTCAATCACTAATTTATCACAATCATTATGTCCTTCCGTCGATTTATGTCATAGATACTATAAGTTGATTAAAATTTTCAACAAAAATAAACATGTAAGTAAAAATTATAAATTCAATGGTAAATAACTTGGTAAAATGTGTAGAAGAATCATCGACCTCATGTGTGAATAAGGAGAGCATGCTTAATTGGACCATCGAATTTTTTAAAGGTGTGAAAAAAACCAGTATAGCAAATTTTCAAAATATACCAGAAATCTTTTAATGTGTTATAATATTCAGGATACTTACATTTTATATGATGTTTTAAAAATTTTGGTAAAAAATCATATCGGATTTTTAAAAATCCAGTTAAAAAAGCGAAATTTTCTCATGTAACCGTAAAAACTATACCATACTTTTAAGAATTCAAACTATGGCGACCATTCAAAAACTTCCATGTAATAGTTGAAGGTTATCTAAGGTCCCTCGCCCAAGAACCTTCTCATAGTCTTCATACACGTCAAATTTCACTGTGTAGTATTCATGTCCTATATCCACTATATCAAGCTCATTTGAGGTTTTTAGAATTGTCTTAAATTTATGCATCATCACATAGTAAACAATCGACTTGTCCAAGAGTTTGATAATTACAATCTCTTAATAATGATTTTTTCAACCTTTCCATTAGCCACACATTCAAGAAACATTTAAGTTTTAAGCAAACTTCATATTATAGCTCTATTAAAAAATACTTTTCTCTATCAGATTGATACTTGTGAAACATTAAAAAACATAAGGAGGATTATGTTTAACAATTAAATTATTTTTATTTTATACACTATGGACACAAACTTTCGGATATTGATTTTTATTTTATACACTATGGGCACAAACTTTCGGATATTGATTTTGTGTGGTCGTTATTTCACGCATTCACATATTCAAATATTAAAAATAGTTGGATTAAATATACAATACCCTTTTGTGCGAATTTCGTTTTACCTTCTGTAATATATTTTTTTGTTTTACCGCTTAAGCGTGCAATTTGAACACTGAAATTAGGGGTAAACAAAAAAAAATTACAGAGAAGTAACTTTGATGCTTTGAAAGTAAAAGAAATAAAATTTTAATATTTTAAGAGAGATTCAAAAAAATATTTTACAAGAGATAAACCGAAAATTTTCTACCTTGCAAGAAGTATTATAGATTTAACCCAAATAGTTAGATCTAAATCATATGATTTAAATTTATTTTAATATTTTATATTAAAAAACATATAAGTAAAAAATACTTTCTTTAACCTGTTAGATCACAATCGAACGTCATTGACATTCTAAATGTGCGAATGCATGATTATTTTGACAGTAATGAATTTATTTTAACGGTAGTGAATTTATGACAATTTTATTAGCGGTAATAAATAAAACAAAAAATTAATAATTTTATTAAATTAGTTTCCTTAATTATTAATATATTATAATTATCATAAATGTTAAATGCCAATTTTAAATATTAATTAAATAATATAATTGAAAAATAAAAACTAAAATTATATTAAAAATTAAAAGTAAGACTTATTTTAATATAAAATAATTTATATATGTGACATATTTTGAGACATCAATGTTATTTTTAGACCCTTCTTTACACCTACACCTAGGGGTGGTCATGGATGGTTAATGTCCAAAACCAATCCATAACCATAAATAATTCATATATTACAACCTGTTATTAAAACCAATTCTTATAACCGGTTTTTATTTTTTAAAATGGTTATAAACCGGTTATATCCATAACCAATTTTATAATTAGTTTTGATTTAATTTTATTTTAAAATTGATTTTTTCAAAATCATAATATTGTTAAAATAACTATTGTTTTTTTTAAATTCATAATTTTTGGTCTCTAAATATTCAAAATCATAATTACTATTGTTAAAATTCATGAATGAAAAGTTCATTCAATTCCTTCATTATTAAATGAAAAGTTAGTTAATTGAATGAATTCAATTTAACTATTAATATATATCATTTAATCTAATTCATCTCCATATTTAAAAAATATCGGTTTAGTTTTATATTTTAAATTTATTAAACCAATTTAACAATTAAATAATAATATTGGTTACAGTTACTCCAATCTATCTATTTTTTTCTTTTCTATATAATTCATTGATTTGTAATTAGAAATATGTGTTATTAAAAAATAATAATTATTTAATATTTAAATATGATTTCTGTATATAAACTACAATAAAAAAATAAACAGTTGTTGTCGTTTGAACATTTATTGGATTAAATTAAAAAATTTATTTGAGATGGTTAAAAACTAAAAAAAATATCTAAATTTGCATTGATTGAATTAAACGGAAAGTCTATTTTAATTGTAGATATGATATTTTTTCTTTTTGTAGTCATTTAGTTTGTGTGAACTGGATGACTAATTTAAATAAAGGACAGAGTAAATTAGAATTTTAATTGCTATTGTTATTTTAACAATATTATGAATTTCAAAATTATGAATTTCAAAATATTAATTTTTGGTTATGAATTTTAAACAATAGTTATTTTAAAATTCATAAAAATTTTATTTACTGAAAAAAATTAAAATAATATTTATTTTCAAAAAAAATAATTTTTTTTTCAAAATAAAAATATCTTTTTTTTTGAAAAAAATTTTCAAAATTTTTTTTAATTAAAAAAAATTGACTAATTTGATTTTTATTTTGGATATGGATGTCCAAATTATGGATTTGGTTAAAACCATATTAAAAATATATCCAAAATGTGGATTTGGTTAAAACCATACTAATAATTAACCGGTTTTTAATAACCGGATTTGGATATGAATATGGATTATTTAAATAACCGGTTTATTTGAACACTCCTACCTACACCGTATTCATTGTTCACAAATACGGTGAACATTGACGTGAACAATGTTATGAATGTTGACTGTGAACAGAACATATGTGTGAACAGTGATTATGAACAATGTCCGTGAGTAATGTATGAACAATGACTTTTTAATAGTAAAAAACAAAGTTGATTAATAAAATGTAAAAAATTGATTAATTAAGTGATGAATTTGATTAATAAATATTCAAATATTATAAATACTTTTTAGTAATAGAACAAAGCTAGTTAGGGAAAAAAATGTTAATTAATATATTGATGAAATTAATTAATAAATATTTAAATATTAAAAATAATTTTTAATAATAAAATAAAATTAATTAATAAAATTTAAGATATTGGTTAATGAAGTTATATAGTTGGTTAATCATACAATTTTATATCTATATTTATTAATCTAAAATAAAATAAAAAAATAATAATTTTATATTTTTTTTAAAATTATTTATTTATTATAATATTTCACTTCCGTTTGAGTGACCTATTTAGAATAAACAAGTGTTTTAAATAAATCACTCATTTTAATTTTTAATGCATATTTTTTAATTCTATCATTTAATTATTACTTTATTATTCTTAATATTTGATAAATAATCTAGTAAAAATATTATTCTCTTTTTTGTTTTTTTTATCATATGTAATCAACTAAACCACTCATTTCTAAGAAAGTATAATATATCATTTCTCATTTTCAGATAGTGGGAGTATATTGGTTAAATTAAGTGATGAAAATAAAAAAAATAAAAAAATAAAAGAAAAAATAAAAGAAATTTTATTTGCGTTGGTGTGCAACTAGCCAACTAGAATGCATCAGACGCGCCACATCAGATTCCAAAGGTAGCTTGTTCCATTAATTTAAGTACTTTGCGACCCAGTCACCAACCTTTCTCTTCTTCCCCATTACCCTTCACCTTCAACGTCGTCGTTTAACATCCACCCAAAAACGTGTAACAAACACCTTCGAATCCGATCCATTATCCTCCGACTCCAATTCCTCCATTATTCAATCAATTATGATTTCGCATGTTAATCTTTAATCAATCGCTGTGTTCACCCACGTTTTCTTGCCATGTCCGTTCAACATCTGCGAAATTCTAGGGTTTCTCGCCTCTTCCTAATCTCCTTCGTTATTTTCTTCATCTATTTCCCAGGTACGTTAAAAACGTTTCCTTTGATGTATATGAAGAGTTTTTATGAAAATTGAATTGATTGTTTAGTTTTGGTTTCACAGGTTTGGTGTTATCCGCGGTAGTGACGCTGAGTTCCTTTGAGATCTTCACAACCCATGAGTGGCTGAGAGCCACTCCGACTGTATATTTTCGATGCACCGGGGATAACAAGACGGTTTTACCTGATGTCAAGAAAAAACATGTTCTTTATGCATTTAAGGGAGAAGAGTCTTGGCAGGTTGATTTGATACCTTATTTGCATATTAGGCATTTGATAAATTGTTTATTAACTATTGATTTAAGTATTGTTAATTGAATCTATATACTATAAGGCATGTGGTTAATTGGTGTTTGATTTCCCATGCCTCTTTGGTGAAATATTTATTGTTTTCTAATTTAGGCAGCTGGCTTCTTTGATTATATTATGGGCATGTTTGGGTTTGCTTGTTAGAACACAAGCACTTGTTTGGTAGAGCTTACTGAATCAGCGTATGAAATGTTGATAAAATTTGTACTTGCTAAGAGTATAATACGTGACAACCCCTAGTGGTTAAGGGCTGTTAGAGGCTTTAGAGATTGTTGTAGGGTTGAGAGCTAGCTCATATATGGAGTAAGAAGCTTTGAGTATTTAGTGTTTGTGTGGATATTGGATTGTCCTCTCTCAACCTCCGAGTTGAGATGTTTATAGGAGCTTTTGGGTTTGGATCCCAGATGCCTAGGAAGTAGCAACCACCTCCTAGAGAACGTGGGAATGGAGAGTTAATCTCCAATTATCCAGGAGAGCGTGACTAATTTCTTCTTGACTTCTTCCACGCCGTTGTGGACTATGGGACACATCATTTCTCACATTTTCCTGTTTCGGGTGAGTTGTTCCAGAGGTGGGTGGGCGACAGATTTGAGAAATGGGCACCACTTCTAGTAAAATGGCGATCGATCTAACATACAGCGACCAGGAAGGTGTTGAGGGCGAGGCGTTCCATCTCTGGCTTCCCATGTCGCTCCTTGTGAGCTCTTTACAAATATACCAATACAAACGATTTTCAGTTTATTTCTATGAGCATTGTACGGTAATTTATGAAAAGAGCTTATAGTTGATATGAAAATAGTTTGACCTTATTTTAGCTTTTATTCTGTAAGCACTTAATCAAACCGTTTATCCAAAACAGGGTGCCTATATGTATGTTATTTACAAGAAACATTTCTCGTTTCAATTTTCCACTCTTGCTTATTGACTATGTATAAAATTCAAGTGTGTTTGCATTTTTAGTTTCAATTACCAACAACTGAGATTTTGCTCTTGGCTTCCAGCCTATCACTGAATTTATAGGTAGAAAATGCAAGCGATGTGGATTCTATGAGAAAGACAGCATTCTTAAGGATCATGAATTTGATGAGTGGGAGCTGTGTCCTTCTGATTTTTCCGCACCTGCTGGCAATTATGTTCACTTCAAGGAAAAAGAATTTAATGCTAGTTTTCTATGCCCTGAATGCCTACTTTTTTCTAATAATGGTTAGTGTCTCGCAACTGTTTTCCTTGAAAGTTGCTTTTACAGTTTTACTGATATCGTTATATTTGTTCTTGCCGGCTACTCTGTTGATGCCACTACAACAATTATTAAGTTTATCAAAAACAAATTAATTTAAAATTTGTTGAATGATTCCACCCAATAGCACTGCATTTCAGTACACTTATTTCTAGTAATGCTATGAATCTTAAATTCCGGTGCATTTATTTCAAAAAGTGCAGATAACCTTAATAATATATTGTATAGGAGTTTTGATTAAGTATAGCAAATACTTTAGCTAAGATTCTAAGGGGAAAAGTTATATATCCTGTGAATTTCCTCTGTAACCAGCTAGAAGGAGGATTGTTTATACTGTAGAGATTGAAGGGAAGGTTCATAAGCTCATTATCCTAACCTTCAAACTTGTGTGCTAATTACCTTTCATTCTGTAACTTTTGGTATCATTTCCATCTGTTGGGAAAAAGCTTGATTATTGTCAATTGTACTACCGTACGTCTGAAAGTATTTTCTTTTGTCAATGTTGATTTGTTTTTGCTTGTGGATCTGGACATTACTGGCCATGCCCAAGTTTGTTCCACTTTTACATCTGAACAAACCTCTAAATTATTTTCTGAAATTTTTTGTTTGTGTTCATATGTACAGTTACTATGTCAGCACCTGAGGGGGATCATAAAGAAAAGGGAAAAAATATAGGGGTTATAATTTTGGTTGCCGTTTTGGTCTCAGCCGTACTGATCGCGGGAGCTCTGGGTGCATATAAGTACTGGCAAAAGAGGAAGAGAGAACAGGATCAGGCCCGATTTTTGAAGTTGTTTGATGAAGGGGATGACATTGAGGATGAGCTCGGCCTTGGCCCAATGTTATGATAGGTTAACAAATTTCCTTCTGTACAGTAGGTTTTCCTCACACAATTTTGATTTGGCTTTCAAGTTTCACCAGGAGGCAGTTCATAGTTACTATTTACATCCACCTGTACAGACTCCACACATATTTTATGTATGGCTGTTTGATGCTTTATCTGACAGAGTTGCCCAAACAATGAAGAATTTTATTTTTTTATTGACCTTAAACTACAGTTTTTGTTGAATGTTTTTTTTTTCACGGTTTAAATCTGTCTGATGTACTTAAACTGGAGATTTACAGCAGAGCACACCTAAAGGACTTTGAATTTTAATTGTTTGGTTGTAATTTTAACCCCTCTCCAAAGTAGAGAATACGAGGAAAAGAGTATTTATTTAAATTTTCAATTTTAATATTATTTTATTTGAGAAATTTTGGAAAGGGCCAGTTTTATAAGTATGCAAATGAATATAAATTATTTATGTAAATAAATATGTCACCGGAGGATGAGGAAACACTTCTTTATTTTAGATGAAAGAAGTGTATGCGTTGTACTATTAGGCCACTTGGGTCATGTTTGAAGAAGTCTTCAAGATTGTTAATGAGAATTTCTTATCCCACCCTTTGGACTTTTTAGCGCATTTTTAGATTGTTAACGAGAATTTCTTATACCATCTTTTGGTTTTTTTAGGCACTATACATTCTGTTTAAAATACATCTTTGATTTTGGAGATGTATATTTGAATGCATTTTTTTTCCAGTTTTTTAAATTAATTTCTTAGATGCATTTACGGAATATTTTCGTATGCGTATTTACGGAAGAAAAGCAGAAACAGAATACTAGAAAATCAACATTGCAACGATAAAATCAACATTCATAAAATAAAATCGACGTTACACTGATGATTTCAATCGAAATTTAAATACTACATTTCAATAGTCTGGTGGACGTTTGCACATCTCTAAGATGTCATTGACCGTTCTTCGGACCGTCGCCTCCAACTCGAGTGGAAATTTCTCTTCGAAACTGAAATATGTTCGCCACATCGTCCTAATATCGTCTTAATTCTTGAGCTTAAACTTGCTGTAAACAATGTTCCCTTCGTTGTTAACTGAAGGTGAACGATATTCAAGCTTCACAATCTTTCGTTTGTCATTGTAAAGTAGGTGATATTGGATCTCGTCTATGATATCAGCGAGGGGGTGAGATCCATGAGCTTGAACGTCCTCCCGGGTGTTTTGCCGTCAGAAAAAGAGACACTTGCGATATACCAAAGGATCTTGATTTCATACAATTGAGACATTTTTGTACGTGTGAAAGATAACAAATGAAACCCCAAATTTATAGAAAAACTAGGTGAATATGGACCAACCATTTTTTGTCAAACTTTTTTCGAAGCTATATCAACGGAACGACCCCATAATTATTGATTCCGGAGGTGTATCTCCGGATATTCCTTTTCAATGTTGTTCAATCTTTAGAATGCGTGCATCCTTTCAACAAAACGATCCGGACACGTCTCAACATTTGCGGCTGAATGAGTCGCTCATTCCGGTGATGTAGGTGGTATGGGGCATCCCGGTTTCAAGTAAACTTGTATAAAATGTCTTAATTTTGTAAGTCATCCAATACACATGATGCGATCATTTGAATTTTGAGGTGGTGTGGTGCGGAGTGGAAAAAAAGTTTCCGAAAATCCGTATTGCGCCAAGTCAATGCACACCCTATCATATCTACATGTAGTAAGATGACTCATATCAGGGAAGATCATCCATTTCGAAATTGGTGCCGGACCACTCAAGCAAGGAACAAGAGATTCATAAACCGCGTCGAATTTTTCTTTCTTTCCATACAACCGCATGTATGATTCTTTATGCGTCTTCAACTCTTAGATTAGTTGATGACGAACAAGCGCATGACTATCCTATCCTTTACCAAGCAAAGTTGAAACGGCTCGGTAACCGCAATTACCATCCTCTTCAACATTGACGATACGGTCGATGTACTTATGCATAAAAATCGACATCTCGTCGATGAATGAAATTTTCGGCAGAATCGGGGTCGGAAGCGGTTTGCTTATGCAGGCTCCTTTCATGATAATTTTTTGAGATTTAGGAGTCGGTGAGTCGGGATAAAGTTTTTCAACATACTCACAATAAGAAGAGACCGTGTAGTCGAGTTGTCATTCGGTGTAGGCTTCATTTTCTTCGGAGCACCTTTTGTCTTTACCGGTTGAGATGGCGGTTTCATGTCGGTTGTTTCGGGATAGGCAATCTTCCTCAATTGTTCTTTGATGTGGAGTTTCATGTTTTCATCGGCCTTTAAGAATCTCTCTTGTATCGCTTCCTATTCGGTCAAAATAGAGATATTTGATTTACCTTCTTCCATGCAACCATCATCATCAAAACTAAGTCTTTTTCAATAAGGGCAAACTTCGTCCATTCTTATTGGCTCGCCTAGTTTTAATTTTTTAGCAATAACACAAGCACACGGAAGACCATAGGTTTTCACAATAGTGCAACCATACTTTTCGGTATCGAAACCTACAGTTTCAGCTCGTTTGGCCTCGTGAAAAATATAGTTCAACCCCGGCCGAGACATATTGCCGATCAATTGAGAATAAAAAATATTGTCTTTAAACCGATGTTCCAATACCGTTATACTCCGACCAAATGTTGTTTGTATCTTATTATGTTGGTTTTTAATCATGAGATTTACGGAGTCCCAATCTCGACACAAATCCCCCTTGCTATTACCCAACCAATTTTTCAAACTAGCGTGGGTCGACTCAACTTTGTTGGTGGTTGTATTTCCAAGGTGTCGGACATTACCAATCCACACACAAACTATCTTCTCCTTCACCTGATCAAGAATGGTGCTTTCAACGTATTCCAATAAAGCATGATACTTTTCACACACTTTCCAGAATTGAATGACGGAATCGACATATAATTCTTTTGTGGAAGAATTTAGTATACGATTCCATGCATCCATTAGTTTTTCAACAATCACACCGGCCTTCACCAATTTTCTACCTTCGAACTTTACTTGTTTCGCCCCCACTGCGGGTTTAACCCGACTTTTCACATTCTTTGTTATGTGATATCGATAAAGTAATGTATTAGAAAAAGGAAACAAATTTGCAACCGCATTCATCAACGCGGTATCGCGGTCGGTAACAATTGCTTTAGGAATCTCAACTCGGTCCTTCAAAAGGGACCGACACACCTCTAATGCCCATGTAAAATTGTCCTTTTTTTCACACGCTAAAAAAGCAAAACCAACGGCATATGTCTTCTCGGTAGACGTAAAACCAACCATCTCGAATAAAGGAAGTATATACTTGTTAGTCTTGTAGGTAGAATCAAGAATGAGCACTGTCGAGAACGCGTTGAACAACTTTATCGAATTCGGATAAGTCCAAAAAAATCTCTGACCGTAACTCCATCGTCGCAAGTTCTGTACCAGGACACGTAACTGTTATCATCCAACAATTTCAACAGTTGTTGCATCTCACTTCTATCTCCCATAATCGTCTTGTTGGTGCGGTACCGAATGTTATACACTTGCCTTATATTTGATATATTGTCGAGTTCCTTCCGTTTCAATGTGGCAAGTGTATTTTTCGGTTGGACAAGATTCAAGATCATGTCACTAATACATGTCTTCTCTTCCGGCTTGAGCCGACATACACTAGGATGGCCTTGTAACTTTAAGCACAGTTCATGGTTATGCAAACCACAAATAACACTAAATTTCCACTTTTTGGTACTCAACATGTAACCACGAATCTTAAAAGGACATTCACATTTTCTACTACCGGTGTCATCTCTTTTAAACATCCGTAGAGGAGTCTGATATTTTTCGCTTCTTTCGCACAACAAAGTTACAAAAGCATTTCTTATTTCCAAACCATTATCTGATCTTCCTATAATCACACCAAAACCAAGTCTAGTTGCAGTCCTACGAATTCATGTGAGCATACTATCACGACCATCAAACTCTTGCTTGTTATTAAAGTCAACGCCGATATCTACCGAATTTACGACAACCCCTTGAATATTCGGTGAAACATCATTTGTAGAAACTAATTCTTTTAAGATATTATCGGGGTGCATCATATCTATTTGTAAACAATAAAAAAATTACCAAAAATTACAAATCTGTTGTAAAAAAAAAGGTCACAGACATGTTCCGGAGAGGTACATCTGAAAGTGTTCATCTTCAACACGTTCTGGAGGTACAACTCCGTAAGTAACATTACTTTTTTTCCAAAAGTTGATGATTAATGTGAGCAATGTAGTGGAAAAAGTACAATCTTTACCTGAAATTCGATCTTCTCTTGCTCCCTTTGATTTGTTTCACGAAAAAGTTAGAGTTTTGGAGTGAAAAATGATATTTGAGAATGTAGGGTTTCTTTAGGTTGGTGGAGGTGAGTGTGGAAGAAGAAACCACAACAATGGGAGGAGTGATCATGCAGGTTTCAAATATAGCAAAAACTTCTGGAGCTGTATCTATGGAACAATCTGGCGCTTAGACGTTTCGGAGGTGCATCTACGGACGTTTCCCTGAACTGAATTATATTGAAGTTTTTTCCAGCGTTTACCAGTTTAAAATTATTCTGTAGATGTAGCTCTGGAAAAAACCAAATTTTGGCAACAAAAAAAAAGGTGTCTGGATGTGTATCTCCAAAAGCAGGGGGCATAAAAGAAAATGTGTTAGATGCCTAAGAGTATCAAGAAGGGGTGGATTAAAAAATTCTCTTGTTAATAAGTTTTTATGTATTAAGAGCATAAAGAGTCTGTTTTTATTCATTCTTTATTTTTAGCATGCATGTAATGAATTCTATGTCGTTAATGGATGACTGGAGTTTTCTTTTAGCCTTTTTTGTTAGTTTATAAGGCTATATAAAACCATAATTTATGGGAATTTTTTTATTCCACCATCTGAAAAATTCAAAATGTTTTTTCAATTCTGAAAATGTATCTTCGGATGCACCTTACAACATTAGATGAATCGGAGATG